TATGTGTGTGTGAGTGTGTGTGTGTGTGTGTGTGTGTGTGCCTATGTGTGTGTGAGTGAATGAGTGAGTGATGCAGTCAATTTGAAATTTGAAGGGTAACAGGCCAAGGTGGGTAGATACAGTTAAGATACACATCAACAACAATCTAACTGAATCTAACAGCTTGAGGGGCTATGTACTGGGGAGTGAAACTAGAACTGGGGGCAGAGCCTCAAAATAAGGGGGAGAAGATTTAGGACTGAATTGAGGAGGAACTTCTTCGCCCAAAGGGTTGTGAATCTGTGGAATTCCCTGCCTGTGAAGCAGTTGAGGCTTCCTCGCTTGATATTTTTAAGGCAAAGATAGACTTTTGAACAGTAAAGGAATTAAGGGTTACGGTGGGTGGGTGGATACGTGGAGTTGAGTCCACCAAAGGATCAGCCACGATCTTATTGAGTGGCAGAGCAGGCTCGAGGGGCCAGATGGCCTACTCTTGCTCCTATTTCTTATGTCTCTCCCAGTTCCTCGGGCTCAGATATTGTACATAGGCAGCCAAAACTGAAGGGAGGCCTCAGAGGGAGCAGGCTAAAGGAAAAAGGATCTTCCTATGTAATTGACTCCCTCTTTTAAAGTTGTTTGTAAGATTTTAATTTCACAGAACTTTTTCAGTTCTTCGTGAGAATATGAGCTTTGCAGGGGCTGGCCCAGCATTTATTGGCCATCCCTAATTGCCCCTGGAGAAAGTGGTGGTGGTGAGTTGGAACCATCATAGTCTGTGTCTTGTAGGAACGCTCCCAATGCTGTTAACGGAGGGAGTTATCCCTTCGCTAGTACACGTGTGTGATCCAATGGGTTGAGCCCCGCTCCATTGAATTTAAATTGTAGAGAAAGGCCAATTGGCCTATCTGCTCCATGCTGCTGTTCCTGCTCCACACGAGCCTCCTCCTACCCTTCTCTTCCTCTTGCCCTATCAGCACATCCTTATATTCCTTTCTTTCTTCATGTGTTTATCCAGCCTCCCCCCTCCTTACAATATATTGATGCAATTCATCTCTCCCCATGGGAACACATTCCGTATTCTCACTGCTCTCTTGGAGAAAGACGTTCCTCCTGAATTCCCAGTTGGATTTATTAGGGACTGTCTGACCCCGATGTACCTGGTTTCGGAGTTTCTCGTAAGTGGAAAGGTCTTCTTAGTGCCCATCCTATCAAGTTCTTCAGCATTTTAAACGCATAATGTTGACCGTAGGATCTAGGTTGACCCTCTGGGTGTCAGTGCAGAGGGAGTGCTGCGCTCACTATTGGAGGTGATAAACCTGAGGTAAGGTGTTAAACTCAGATCCTGTGGCCCCGGCCAACATCGCTCGAAAAGGTATCTGGTCATTATCGGAGAATCCCTACAGTGTGCAAGCAGGCCATTTAGTTCATTGAGTCCAAACTGAACAGCATCCCACCCAGACCCAACCCCCCCTGCCCTATAACCCTGCATTTCCCATGGCTAACCCAACCCAAGCCTGCACATCCCTGGACACCATGGGACAATGTTGCATGGCTAATCCACCCTAACCTGCACATCTTTGGGCTGTGGGAGGAAACCAGAGCAAACCTGGGGAGAAAGTGCAAACTCCACACGTTAAACCTCCCAAGGCTGGATTCGAACCTGGGTCCCTGGTGCTGTGAGGCAGCCTGTGCTAACTACTGAGTCACCGTGCTGTCCTCATTACTGTTTGTGGGAGCTTGCTGTGCACAGCCTTACGTTCCTAAGCCAGAGGATCTTCACTGGTTGTGAAGCATTCTGGGGTGA